CAGAATCTCTCTCTTGCTCAAATACCCAACTGCTAAACAATATTAGCAACAAAATAAATAATGACATGGTCCAAAACAAAACAAAAAAAATTCAATATCCATGCACCTGTACTGATATAAAGAAATTGGTGAACAAATAAATCAGGGGTTCAGCTCTTTCTTACAGAAAAATATCAAATAGTTATGTGGAAGGATTAAGGAAAATAGTAAATCACCATTAATATACCATAGTAACAACTGCTGCAAGCAGAATTCACTGATGAGTGCTAAATTTGTGGGTAAAAGTTGAAGCACATTTGCATAGAGTTGATGTATCTCCCCTAAAATATGTATTAATTACTGGAGTGGTTTCAACAAATGGCTCCAAATTCTTTGATACACCTCCTTTCAGGAGGTGGAGTTTAACTCTCTTTCCCTTGAGTAGAAATGGATTTAGTGACTGGCTTCTAACAAGCAGAGTGTGGGAAGGAAAAAGAGTGACTAATACTGAAGAAGCTTGCATACACCACCTAAACATGTGACTGAGGTTAACAGGACATGCTGACATCATGCTCTTGATATGATGCATCTTGATATGATACATGCTCTTGATACGATGCACCTCTGTGCTGACATTCCCCCAAACCCATATCCTTGTTTTCAATAATCAGAAAAACCCAAATCAAGAATATTCTATAACTTAACTGGTGGCTACTCTTCAAAAGTGTCAAGGCCATGCAGGAGAAAGATCCCTCAGGAGTTCCCATTAGAGTGGTTATCAGGTAACTTTATACAAGCAGGTCCACTTTCTAATTTATAAATTCCGGAGGGTGACTTTAATCTTAGCATTTATAAATGAAAAAAATTCCACTTGGATTAAAAAAAAAAAAAAAAAACTACTCTGGGAGCTAAGTATGGAGATGAGCTGGCTCAAAAGCTGACCAAAGAAAAGAGAATCCCTTTGCTCAGGAACAAAAGCACCAGGAACTTTTCAGGATGTTTTGCATCAATAAAGATGCTACTTGGACCCTGAAGCATGTTTATGGCTGGAGGGGATGACAACAACACAGAGTATGTTACTTACCAGAGTGACTTTCCTTTGAGGTTTCAGCAGCTTGGGTTTGTGGAACGAGGTGGCAATGGGAGCTGTGGAAGCATGTCAAGGGGTCAGCTTACAATTCCATCCCAGACTCTCATGCCCACAAATCACAAGCATCAAAACAGACTTGAGGAGATTCATGGACCTGACCCGCCCACAAGGAAGAACGCCAGTTTCTGATCTAGGTACCAGGCTGTGCCCCTTGGTGGGGGCAGCCCTCACCTGTTCTTTGGAAATGTCATCATTTCCCCTCAACAAGGTCAACAAAACAGCTCTGCAGTAAACACTGCCAGCTACAACGAGTCAGGCAGGCGGGTGAGAAACAGGGGTGCTTGGTAGAGGCTGAGATTGGGGCCTTGCCTGCAGTTTCTTCCCATCTGCACACCAACACTGATGAGAATGAATTTTGATCCTCACAACAGCTCTATGAGGTTGTCAGGGAGGATTTTATTATCCCTGATAAACAGAAACCCAGGTTCTTCCCAACCATCGTGTAACTGGTATCTAGGTGACATGGGACTTGAACTTGACCTTAGAAGCCCAGCAGCCCTCACTTCAAAGGCAGGCTCTATCATTTATCTCTGAGTCTCCTTTTCATCTTCAGGCAGGCAGGGTACTAGCTACTATAACTGGATGAGACAATGTAGCAGTGAAACACCTGGCCCAGAGCAGGGGCTCTCTGCTGCCTCCCACAACTTTGCTTCCCTTGCTTCCCAGAACTCAGGCCTTCCACCCCTCTGTCTACCCAATGTGCATTCAGCCTCAGCACCACTGGCTTTCACCACAGCCTCGAAGGATCCCCAAGGCTACCTCCTGTGAAGCCCCAGTTGAGAGACAAAGTGCATCTTTATGTTGTGAATAAATTGTTCACCTGGGTAATCCTCATACTACCAACCATATCTCAAATTCTTTGAGATATGAATTCTCCTAAATTATCTATAGTTATATTAGAAACCAGTCATATTATAGTTATATTATAAACTTATATTATATATTATAGTTATATTAGAAATTTAGTTCTTCTAAGACATGTGCGATTATTTCTACTCAAAATGCCCATCTTCCTCATTATGTTGCTCTAAGTCATAATCAGAACTGAGGAATAGCCCTCTCTTTATCCCCTGGACCCATCCAAAATACATTATATACTTGCTTAGCATCTTCAGAAAACTCAGAGAATCTTCCTTCCCTTGAGTGAACCAAGAAGATGCTGATACCATCCCTGGCCCCACCTATTACTCACAGAGTGTTTTAGTGGTTCGAAGTGACATACACTGTGGAACCAGCCTGTGGATGCTGCCCCCACCCCTGTTAAAGCATGTGCGCAATGGCACCATCCTCAGCCCCACCCCAAGACAGAGCTCAGTCATGACCAGAATCTGGGCAGGGTGGGGAGGGGAGATTGGTCTCCAGATGGTATAAACACTGGATGCCATGTCCTCCACCTGCTATTCCTCCTGTCCTGAACCCACATCAAATCTCAGAACTACTTCTAGATCATTCGTGGTGATTTCCACATGAGCTAGCTTCCTACCTTTGGCAGGAACCGCGGGAGGAATGTCAGTCTTCTCCTTCCGCCTCTTACCCTTCTTGGGCTGCAGTGGGGCCAAGCTGGTCACACTGGTGACAGTCTCCCCTGAGCTGTAGAAGAAAAATGTCCTGGTAAAGCAAAAGGCAGGTTTGTTCCAGGGAAGAGAAAGGAAGTAGGAGTTTCTGGGTGCTGCCTATGTACCTGTGTAAGACAGGGTCATCTTACAACTGGACAGAGATCACTCTATGCTTATCTCCAGGGATGTCTGGAGTCTGGTACTGATCCTCAGTTAAGGTAAGAACGGTGAAGTGAGCTAGTCAGTCATTTACAATGTGCTGTTTAAATGTCAAAAAAAAAAAAAGTCCCTGGAGATGCAGGGCCAGCATGTCTGCATTGTTTAGGGATGCACAGATTAGTGGATTACACCTGGCTCATCATTTACACAGTCTGGCTTGGATACATCAATAGTAATTATTAAGATATCACTAGATACTTCTACTTGAAATCCCCTAAAGCCAAGATTTCTTGTATGTATCCTTGGGGCTCACAATCTGAAAATAAAGCATGTCCTGTGCAAGTAAGAAAAGACCTTCGGGAGCTGAGCCCAAAAGTCTCTGGGATTCGCCATGATGGCGCATATCTTCTCTCCTGCTGCACCTATACCTTTATTTAGTGAAAACTCTGTGAGTTCACCCTGAGGAGTACCGTGAGTGTTTACAATTATCTGACCCCATGTAATCACTGTGGTACCAGATTCTTCCTATGTGTTATCCATGATAACCCACAGTGGGGGACTCATTAGCCTTATGATACAGGTAAGAAAACCAAGACTTCAAGAAGCTAAATGACCTGCTCTAAGTGACACCGTGAGTAAGCAGCCCAACATGAAAGCCGAACCTGACCTTGATGCCACATGGGATGGAGTCCACACACTCTCTTGAACAACCATCGGTCTTATTTCAAGTGCATACTATTGATTCAGGCAGCCCAGAGGGGAGCCCCATTTAGAATCTCTTATCCTCAGGCACATGTTCTAGCCAGGTAAGTACAGTTACTGAGAGAAGTTATGTCTCTAATTCATAATGGATTTCTAGCAATCCATATGAATGTGACTATCAAATAATCAAATATGTATAATCAAAATGAAGGTAGTAAACAGTTTTCACACAAGAGGAAGGGCTCTTACCTATGAAAACATGCTAAAAATCCCTTGTGAAAGGAATCCAATCCTTTTTCCACAAATCAGAATGACAATTACATCTGAGGCAAAGTACTCTTTTGGCAAGAGTGTGGGGGATTTGGGCACTCAGAAGTATTGCTGGTAGGAGGGCAACCCCTTCTCTCTGGAGACAGCCTGGCAATCAGAATAACTCGGATGGTCAGAATCACAGAGGCTTATCCTTTTTGACCTGGCAATTTCACATCTGGGCATTTATTCTGTGGATCTACTTGCCTATGTATGAAATATATGTATAAGCTTCATCACTACAGTGTTGGCAATAGCAACATACTGGAAACCACCCAACTATTCATCAGCAGGGGACTGGTTAAGGAAATTATGGTGAATTCACAAATAGACACCTGGGGTCCTGTAACTGTAAAGAGGAATGATGCTATTTATATATTGATAAAGAAAAATACATTGCTAAGTGAAAAAACTAAGTGTTGGACAATGTAAAAAAATGTGCCACTTTTTATATAAAAATTGGGGAAAATAAGAATATATGCTAGTATTTACATGCACATGCATAAAAAACCTGAAAATATTCACAAAAATTATAAAATAGTGGTTTCTCAGAATGAGAGTGCCAAGGAACTAAACAGATGGGATTCTGAACAGAAATTCTCACTGTATATACATATTATACTACATATACATACATATGCCATTATACAGTATACATACACCCGAGTACACATATATACTACATATGCACATATATATGCCCATATGTACTATATATATATACACACACACACTTATATGTAGTATATATACAAGCACATGGATGTACATATAGACACAGGCTGTGTATACATACATGTGCACATATATTGTGATAAATACATATATGCATATGATAAATACATATATGCACACGATAAATACATGTATGCACATGTATATATACTCATATTTTAAATTGACTTTCAAATTTTAATCATTAAACCATATGATTGCATAATCTTTGAAAAGCAGTAAATTAGGGGCCTCCCCATTGGTGCAGCGGTTGAGCGCTGGGTTGCGAAGCTGCCCGCAGCCTCTGCAGCACGGGTTCGATCCCCGGCTGCTCCCCGGCCAACGGAGGAGGGTCCCACATGGCACGCAGACCTCTCCTGCCGCCCGCTGCTCCCCTCAGCAGTGTACTTCGGTCCTTCTGCCTGCTCTGCTCCCCGCTCTGGCTCTGGTGAACTCGCTCACCCTCCCGCGCTTCTGACTGTACCCAGTGCATGTATAAATAAATAAATAAATCTTTTAAAAAAAAAAAAGAAAGAAAAGTAGTAAATTAAACACAAATAAATACTTACAAATATTTAATAAAAGAAAATAGGCCATTCTAATAGTCTTAGAGTTTTAAAAACAAATAAATGAAGATCAAATCACATAATGTGGGAAAAACTCTAAGATCACAGTTCCCACTGAGATTCCCCAATGATGGCTTATTTTCATTGAGAACAAAAATTCTAACTGGCCATAGTGTTAAAGGGTCAACTGTGTAAATTCACAAATAGTCAGAAGGAATGTGAGTTTACAAAACTCTGACCACTAAGAAAAAATTAAGGGATATGAAATTCAGAATTGCTTAAATATACAACCATATGGACAGCTTCATTTTGTATCTTTTTAAGATCTTGAAATGTTTATTTTCTTTTCATTATAAATTAATGCATGTTCATGTTTTCAATAGTAATTGCAGACATGAAAACAAAAGAAAATAAGTCTATCATAACCAAAACACAACCTTCTTAAATATTTCCAGCTTTTCCCCTCTTCCTTGTTTTATTTTTAATACTTGACTTTTTAGAGAAGTTTTAGGTTCATAGCTAAATTGAACAAAGGTACAGAGGTTTCCCATACACCCCCCACCCTCTTACATGCAGTCTCCGCATTATCAATATGCCTCACCAGAGTAGTACATTTGCTATAAGTGATGAAACTTACACTGACACATCATTATCACCATAAATCCATGGTTTACATTCGGGTTCTCTATTGGTGTTGCATATTCTCTGTGTTTGGACAAATATATAATGAATCTACCAATGTTATCATGCAAAATAGTTTAACTGCCTTAAAAATCTTCTGTCCTTTTTACCTATTGATTCCTCCCACTCCCTAACCCCTGCCAACCATTGATCTTTGTACTGTCTCCATGGTTTTGCCCTTTCCAGAATGTCATATAATTGGAATCACACAGTGTGCAGCCTTCTCAGACTAGCTTCTTTCACTTTGTACTGTGCACTGGAATTTCCTCCATGTCTTTCATGGCTTGACAGCTCATTGCTTTTAACTCTGAATAATAGTCCATTCTTGGTGCAGACTATGCATCAGAGCTTACTTATTCATTCACCTATTGAAAAATGTTGGCTGATTACAAGTTTTGGTGATAAAACTGCTGTAATAAATAAAGCTGCTATAAAAACCCATGTGAGGGTTGGTGGGTTGTGTGTGTGTGTGTGTGTGTGTGTGTGTGTGTGAGAGAGAGAGAGAGAGCATAAAATCTGATTCTTCTTGGTTCTTATGTTAGTTTTATGTTTTTCAACTTTGCACCCTTCTTTTTACCTCATCTGCATTTTCCAGAGTTACATTTTCATCCCATTCCAGTGAAAAGACATGACAGTGTTCACATAGCCATTCCCTGACATCTGAATTGAACCTGTTTCCCAGTTTGATATATAAATAATATTGATATACATATATTAGTGCCTCATGGTTTTCCATTCTTATACTTTGTTTTTTGGTTGGATTCTTAGCACTGGAAATACTGGTTCACAGAGGAAGATCATTTGAAAGCTATTTAACACCTTCTGAATTTGATTGCCTTCCTTCCGTGGCCACATCCTTGCAGAATCAAATAACATTTCTCCTTCCTCTTCTATTTTCTTGAATTTAATTCTTTAGATCTTTAATACATGGATAAAATACAAATAAATAAGCATAGGGAATCAAATATAAACTAATACAAATGAGAGTTTTGGGACATCACTTGTATGAATTTATGCCATTATGCCCAGGGCTTTCAGTAAGGTGAAAAAGTTCTGCTTTCTTGTCACCATTTCCCCCTCAAAACAGTAAAAATACACTAAACTAAGTTTAGCTCTAATTCATACTGCAACATGAGAATGCATGCATGTTGGTTCGTGACAATGGTATACAATGGGTGATATTTTTTTTTCTCCTAGGATCTTATATCTCCTATTGAATCATCAGGGCTGGTAAGAATTTTTGATAACAAAAGTCCACTTTATGATTTAGTAACAAATTATTCTACTTTTTGGTTTGGACAAGACTATGTTTTGTCTCTCACACAAGGGAGTACACTCTTCTGGAGCCAGTCAAACCAAGAAAGATAGAAAACTGGCCAGAATCTCATCTAAATTAGAGCTGTGTGATTGGAGCAAAGTGCTATTTGTGGGGAACAGAGTTGTCTTTCTGGCTCCTACAAGGGTGTGGTGTTTGCTGCAGCATGTACAAGGTTCAACTTGGCTGCATCTCATTGAAGTCTCTTTCCCACAAAGGCTGGATTTAGTGAATGGGCACAGGAAAGGGGCAGAAAACCTGCACGAGAGCTGGTTCCATGAGACTAGTGAGATGATCCTGCATAATTAACTCACTTCCCTGACCCTCACTCACACCCTGAAAAGTGGGAAGATGTGCCCTTGCTACCTATTTCACAGGATTATTGTGAGAGCAGATGAGACAGCTTTGGCTAAATTAGATGGGGCATGACATCACTAAGTAACATTGACCCTAATCTCCATGTAGGGTGCACTGCAGGGCATTTCATGGTGCTACCTATTGAGAATGGGGTTGCCATTTGAGTATTTTATGGTTCCATGTCTTGGCCCTGAGGGGAGGGCTGCAAGTTTCAATTAAAATCTTGATCAGAAAATCTTTCTGCCCAAGACAGCCCATCATGCCCTCTATTGACACAGACACAGCAGTGCTATACCAGTAGCAGCACAGCACAGACCAGGCAGGTAAGAGGAGAGAGAAGTTGCACCTTGAGCAACAGGTGGCTGTCCCAGGACACCAGGTAAGACAGGCAATCTGGATTTTGTCAGCCATTGAACAAATAGTGAACAACCATATATTGCAGAAACTAAAGTTAGTAGTAGCTATGTTTGTCTCTATCATGTGCAGGGCTTGTATCTTATATATGTACATAAGATATACATTTTATATCAAGTACAAAATATATTTGATATCCATAATCTAGCCGCCACCACCCCCCAACTCCCAAAGGGAAAATAAAGCTGCAGAGAGGCCAGGCAGGAGACATGGGAGCAGATCCAGGTCAGCTTCCCTTCTTGGCCCAGAAGCAAGGATTCTGGGTCCAACCCAGATAACAGAACAAGAAAACTAGGGCAGGAAAAGGGCCGATCAAGCCAGATCCACAATAGCTGCACTAGGCTTGAATCAGGTCCCCAAAGAGAAGGTGCTGGAAGGCGATATCAGCATTCTACTGCATTTTGTGTTTGTATTAAATTCAGGGTGAGAGCTTCTGGGAGCTCCCAGTTGCAGCTGCTCAAACCCAGCAAGAAGGAGGAAAAGTAATGAACTCAGTGCTGGGGTTGGTGGCAAGAGCGAGGCTGGTGCCCAAACCGTGAGCAGAGGAGAAGAGCATATTCCTGTTCCTGAAAATTGTCTGGAATAAGTAATGTCAGCTGCCAAAATGGAGGAAATTCAACCTCTCCACTCTAGAGCTTAAAGTCGTGGGAGTAGAAAAAAACTAACATAAACTGAGCTGATCCCACAAAAGAACCTAATTACAAGGAGTATCATAGATCCAGCCCCATCTTGCTTGCATAACTGAGTGAGTTCAGAGCCCCTGCTATTAAATCACAGCACCAAATGCTGTGCAACAGTCCCCATCCCTCCATCAAATGGCCCCGTATTATCCACCTCTCTCTGGGGGATACCTGAGATGGAGCTAACCATGTGAGCAGATGGGCTTGCATACACCCAACCTGCATCCCCCAGATACTGTTTCCTTTGATCCTGGTCAATCTTTGTGGTGATTTCAGCACATGAACTATGAACACAAATGCTTCCTTGAGGTCCTACTCCTCCTCCCTGGACACAAGCTACCTTTCACATGATACAAAGGGATTTGTTGTGGTTTTGAACTGGGACCCTAGGGATGCCAAGTGTTTGTTAAGCAGAAGAAACCAACCCAGAAAACCCTTGATGAGTGGAGCTATGGAAGGTGTGTTGGCTGCCAACACCCTCCCAGGCCTGTTTCCTGGAGCCCTTTCCTCCCCAGTCCCGCTTACCCCACATTATCTTTGAAAGCCAGTGCTTCAGTTGACCCATTTAACCTCCAGAAACATCCACATGCTTCCCACTGACCCCCATATCACAGTTCTGACAATGAGATACACAGAGGGAGTCATCAAGTCCTTTCCAAGCAGTTCTAGGGTCCCTTTTCCAAGATTTCACACAGGACATTTATCACTCCATAACCTACACCCAATAATATCAAGTGTGGAATCTTGAAGACAGAACACTGGCCTCAACAGCTTTGGAGGCAACAACCATCATTGACAATTACAGACCTGCTGCCATCGGTAAAGGCTAAGGACTCAAGAAAATGGGGCAAATTGCCTAACATTTCATTCTAGGCTTTTGAATGTGCTCCATGGGCCTCGCCAGCCATTGGAATACATGAGGTTAGTGACTACCACGGGCAGGAGCTGCTTAAAAGTTGCAGAGATTCACTTTCAAGGTGGATGAATGATACCACCACTCACAATGACTCCCTTGAAATGATCATATCATAAATGAGGGATACATGTCAAGCATATGGAACCATGTCTGATACGTAGGGGGCACCAAGCAGAGTCACCTAGTATAATCTCACCAGTATTATCACCATAATTGTTATTACGGAATCTGCTCTCAGCGTCCTTGACTAGGGAGCCAGGCAGAGGTCTCTGCAACCTAAGCCAGACCCAGTGCACCTAGAGAGAACTGGCAGAACCTGGAGGTCATGTTTTATTCTCTGTTGCTTCCATCCCAAATAGATGGCTACTTGATGCATGCATATTCTAAATGGCATAAGAAAAAAAAAATATGTTCCTTTAGGAGGTATCTCCCTGTCCACAGGCGCCCAAGGCCTTTTATCATAAATGGTTTGCACCCCCCAAGAGGTTCTGCTGATGCTTGACTGTCAATCCTCTTCCCTTAAAGTCCCTGCTGGCTTCGTGAAGTCTGCAGGGGTTTTCCCAGGCTGGAGGTTTTGTTTTTGAGTTTAAAATCTCTGAAAACTGATAAGATCAGGAGGTGCTTCATTAATAAGTGGGGATCCTATGCAGTGTCCTGGCCTTGGGTCATAACAGCAGTGGCCTGCCCAGCCTCCACCACCCCACCAGTGTTGAGGGCACATGTTTGGGTGGCATTAACCCCACCCCCGCACAACAAATCTTATCCTCAGGCTGTTCCACTAACACTGAGGTGCAGTTGTAGTTGCTGGATAAAAAGAGAGATGAGAGGGGTCCCCTTACAATGGGTGGACCCCGAGGTGATTATGTTAAGTGAAATAAGTCAGAATGTGAAAGACAGATATCATATGGCTTCACTCATCTGTGGAATATAAATAACGAAACATACACAGGCAAAATAGAACAGGAATAAATCTCAAACATAGTGAACAAATTCAATAGTTACCAGAGAAATAGTGGGAAGGGAGGAGGGGGTGAGCGGAAAAGGCAGCGGAGATATAGGCACAGGTGGTTTGGTGGAAGCTGAATGAAACATGTGCACATATGGAAGAATGAAAATGTAATCCCAAAATTAAAATAAAAATTTAAAAAAGAGGAGAGATGAATGCTTCATGAGACCAGGCATAAACACACCCATAAGCCACCTCTCCCTTCTGAGAAGAGCTGCCCAGTCAGAGGATGTGTCAGGGAGGCAGCACTGTCCAGGGAAGGGCTAGGAGTAGACCTGAGTCCCCTGGAGTCACCCTGAGGCTCACCCACTGCAGCATCCCTGGTGAGAAGAGCCAGCCTGTTCCTTTTGCGCTAAGACCATCTGACCTGGCTTTATGTCACCAGCAATCAAACAGCAGCGAGAGCTAGATATTTATCTAATAACGGCAGTTTTATTCCTGTTCTTTGACTGGGGAGACTAATTTGTACCTTGCAGGGTTTTTATCAGGATTAGAAATAAACCCCCTGATGCTTTTGCCAGGGCAGTGCATGAGCACACCAAAAAATGAAGAGGATGATGGGCCTCCCTGGTGGCACAGCGGTTGAGCGCTGGGTTGCGAAGCTGCCCGCAGCCTCTGCAGCACCGGTTCTATCCCTGGCTGCTCCCCGGCCACTGGAGGAGGGTCCCCATGGCGCGCAGACCTCTCCTGCCGCCTGCTGCTCCCCTCAGCAGTGTACTTCGGTCCTTCTGCCTGCTCTGCTCCCCGCTCTGGCTTTGGTGAATCCTCTCACCCTCCCGCGCTTCTGCTGTACCCAGTGCTTGTATAAATAAATAAATAAATCTTTAAAAAAAAAATGAAGAGGATGGCATGTGTCCCATATGTGGCACTGTGACCAGAACATGGCCTATAATAAAAATGTGACTTTGCTGTTGTTCATAGGACGATGGCCATCCCTTGGTGTCTGGCCCTGTCACCCTCTGTGCTGTGTCTGGCCTCGCCTTTGTGCTGTACAGTGCTGAACTCTAGGGTCCCCCCACCACTCCCATGGCCCAAGTTCCTTCAGTCCCCAGTCCTTCCACCCACTTTGCTTCTCTGACCCCACGTCTGACGCTGCTGTTCCCTCTACCTCTTCTTGTGAGCACTCTCACTATCTTTCAAGACTTGGCCCAAATTTTACCTCCAGGGTAGAGCATTTTGCCAAGGGGAAGTTGTAGTCTCCCAACTTTGAAGGTCAGGGCAAAGCCCGCCAGGAGATGGCAACTTCCGACTTAAGGGGTGAGCTGAGTTTGTTTTCCTTCCATCTGAACTTTCCTTAGCAAGCATGGATTTCCCTGGCTTTCAGGTTATGCTCCGGTCACTTGGCAAGGCCTGGTCTCAGTGATTGCAGCCTCGGCGCCAGCATGAAAATCCCTCCCATGCCTGAGGGTTTCCGGTTCTGGCCGCTGGTCCTATTCCTATGTTCTCTGCCATTCTCCCTTAGGAGGAAGTGGTCAGAGGACAGAGAAGGACATATGTCCCTATCACAGCTTGAGACGCCAGGGCCAGCTGCCCACTGCCTCAGCACAGCTGAGGGGGCTGGGCCTGGGAACTGCTGGCATAACAGGAACAGAACTACCTGGACTGCAGGGGCACAGAACAACTCAGGCCAAAGCCAGAGTTCAGGGGCAAGGATGGAGCAGTCCACTAGCCAAGCACCCCATGGGAAGGAATCCGGCCGCACTAAGTAAACTGGCCCTCCAGAACTTCTGCATCAACCAAGCTGGGAGGGGAGAGTGTCAGAGCAGCCCAAGGCCAGGACCCCACAGAGCCCCACTGTTCTGACCAGAAGTTCAGCCAGAAGTACAAATGCTTCTCAGTTTAGCATGTGCCTTTGGTCTATTTCCAGAGTGCTAAAATCATTCTTGTCAGTTGTATTACGTTTCATAGTTGCCATCTCGGGAGAGGAATTGCTGATCTCACTCAGCCATAGTCAGACATCTCAGATATCTCTGCTGGGGACATGTGAGTTTGCACCCACTGCCCAGCAAGTTCCACCAATGCAAGGACTTCTCTTTTCTTCACTGCTTATTCCCAAGCTCCTAGAACAGTACCTGGTAGACAAGAGACCCTCAGTAAGATAATTTTGCACCCTGATATCAGTAACAGGACTTCTAAGGGTCCCAAGTTCAACAGTAGTCAAGTACAGGGAGTGCTGGGACAGCGAACAGGATCCCCCAGAGAAGTCCAAATCCATTTTTTTTTTTTTTTTGAAATGTTGAAATTTTATTTTTCAGTCAAGAAATATATTATACCTTTATCTATCTTTCTATCTTTTAACAAAACCTTATGGTTTAACAAAGCTTTATGGTTTAATTGTGCACTTCTTTTTTTTTTTTTTTAAATATTAAATTTTATTTTTATATTCCCCCATACAATTGCAAACGCCCCATTCTGACCCCAATCCTTCCCCTCCCGCCCCCCACCCCCAAAAAGTGTCTCTGGTTCATAGTTTTTTGTTGATTTTGATTTTCACTTTCTTATATTCATTTTCCTGGTCCCTTATTTAAGTTTTCTAGATTCCTGCTATGAGTGAGACCATCCGGTATTTTTCTTTTTCTTTTTGGCTTATTTCGCTGAGCATGATCCCTTCCAGTGCCATCCATGTTGCTGCAAATTGCATGTGTTTATCTTTTTTGAATGCTGAGTAATATTCCATGGTGTATATGTACCACATCTTCTTGATCCAGTCATCTACTTTTGGGCATTTGGGTTGTTTCCAAAGCTTAGCTATTGTAAACAGTGCTGCTATAAACATAGGGGTGCAGGTGTTCTTTGGAATGGATGTTTCTGTGTCCTTTGGGTAAATACCTAGGAGTGGAATTGCTGGATCATATGGAAGCTCTATGTTTAGTAGGTCCAGAAATCTCCACACAGCTCTCCATAGTGGTTGGACCAGTTTGCACTCCCACCAACAGTACACAAGAGTTCCTTTTTCTCCACACCCTCGCCAACATTTGTTGTTGCTAGTTTTTTTAATATGTGCCATTCTCACTGGTGTGAGATCCATTTTTCAAGTGAAATTTATACCATTTGTTGATTCACATATAATCATAGGAAATAAAACTTTCTTTGTCCTTTCTGTACACTTTTACCCTCTTCTCTAGTGGTTTATCAGAAAAATTAATGCTTCCTATAACCAGCTTTTTGCTTCATTAATTTTCTTTATTTTTCTGCTACTTTCAATTTCACTAATTTCCTGGTTTGATCTTTATTGTTATTATTTATTATTTATTGGTCTTTTCTTCTCTTTGCTATGGGTTTATTTTACTCTTCTTTTCCAAATTTCTTGATGTAAGACTTGACAGTGCTGATTTAAGGTCTTTCCTTACTTCTAAAGTAAGCACTTAAGGGCCTCCCCGGTGGCGCAGCGGTTGAGCGCTGGGTTGCGAAGCTACCCTCAGCCTCTGGGGCGCCGGTTCGATCCCCGGCTGCTCCCCGGCCACCGGAGGAGGGTCCCACATGGCGCGCAGACCTCTCCTGCCGCCCGCTGCTCCCCTCAGCAGTGTACTTCGGTCCTTCTGCCTGCTCTGCTCCCCGCTCTGGCTCTGGTGAATTCTCTCACCCTCCCGCGCTTCTGACTGTACCCAGTGCTTGTATAAACAAACAAACAAATAAATAAATAAACATGCCTCTATAAAAAAAAATAAAAATAAAATAAAGTAAGCACTTAACATTACAACTATCCCTATCAACACGGCTTTAGCTGCAACCCACATTTTTTTATTTCCCTTACTCTTTGACCCACGGATTATTTTTAAATGTGTTGTTTAATTTTCACATGTTAGAGATTTTCCTGCTGTTGTTTGGTTTTGATTTTGTGTTTGGTTTCATTGTAATCAGAGGACACATTTTTGAATGATTTTAATTGTTTCAAATTTGTTGAGGTTGATCTTCTAGCCCAGGGTATGGTCTAAGATAGACTATACCTTATGGTGAATGTTCCACTGAAGACGGAAAATACTTTTGTCCTGCTGTTAGTGGTAGGAGCATTTGTTATGTGTCAATGTGGTCCTGTTAGTTAATTGTGTTGTTAGAATCTTCGATATCCATGCTAATTTTCTGTCTAGTATGTCTTTCAGGTACTATAAGGGATGTTGAAATTGCCCACTGTAATTGTGGATTTATTCTTTTCTTCTTCAGTTCTTTCTGTGTTTGCTTTTTATATAGTAGCTCTGGTGTTTGACATCCCCACATTTAGGGCCATTGCCGTCCTGGTGGATCGATTCTTTTATTATTATTTATTGCATTTCATTGTCTCTAGTAAATTTCTTTATTCTGAAGTCTATTTTACCACATATTAGTATACTCACACCTAGTTGTTTTGTTATTGTTATTTTTTGTTATCTATTTTTCCATTTATTTATTTCAACCTACCTATGTCATTGTGTTTGAAGTAAGTATCTTGGAAGAGTACATAGTTGGGTCATATTATATTTATATATATAAATATATACACACATATATATATATACACACTGTCAATCTCTGCCATTTGACTAATGTATTTAAACATTTACATTTAAAATAAATGGTATGTTGGAAAATAAATCTGTCATTTTATTTTTTTCTATTTCCTGTTTTTCTCATTCCTCTCCTTCTTTATGTTAATTAGACATATTTTAGGGTTTTACCTTTATGTTTCTATAGTGGTTTTTAGTGTATTTTCCAGTCATTGTGCATTGCAATACACACAATGTGACTTACCAGAAGCTCCTGGTCCCAACATTCCATCACTTTGAATAACAGGTAGAGGCCTCACTTCTACTTTGATCACTTCATCTTCCCTACTTCCAAATATCATAATACTCTTCTTAAGTATCGGATGGTTTCATACTTTTGTTTCAATCATCAAATGTTATTTTTTAAGCACATTAGGGGAAAAATAGTCTAACTTACATGCCCATATTTCTATTCTTTCCATTGTTTCTTCTTTCTACATAATGTACTGACTTTCTCCTCCTATTTCAAGAATTTCTTTTAATCATTCTTTTAAGATAGGCCTGGGCCTCCCCTGGTAGCGCAGGCAGTTGAGCACCACCTGTGAAGCTGTCAATAGCCTCTGCAGCGCCAGTTCAATCCTGGCCAGCTGGCGAGAGTCCCACATGGCGCGGCAGACCTCTCCTGTCATGCCTGCTGCTCCCCTGAGCAGTGTATTTCGTCAGTCTGCCTGTTCTGTTTCCCGTTCTGTCTCTGGTGAATCCTCTCACCCTCCCGCGCATCTGGCCTGTACCCCAGTTCCTGTATAAATAAAAAAAATAATAAAAAATATAAGCTAGGCCTGACAGATTCTCTCAATGTCTTTTATCTGAGAATGCCCTTATTTACCCTTTATTCCTAAAGGTTAGTTTTACTGGATGTAGAATTTGTAGTTGACAATTCTTTTCTTTCAGTATTGAAAATTGTGCCACTTCTTTCTGCCCTCCAGATATTCAGGTGAACAATGCACTATCATTCAAATGTGTGTTCTCTTCAAGCAATGCATTATTTCTTTATGGTTGCTTTTAAGGCATTTTTTTTCTTCATTACCTTTCATAATTTTCTTTTCACTACTTTCCAGAACCTGTCTTTGGTTGTCTCATGTTTTTTCCAGGACTTAATAGTTGTGCTTAGTAGGAAAGAGTGGGGAGACAGATCTCAAATTTTTAAACACAATGTGCTTGCAACATCTCCTACAGCTATTGTGTCACCTGTGAGAAATGTCCCACTAGCTGAAAGTGTAGCATCTTAGCACATGTATCACTAACAGGCATGTTCTGCATGAGTGGGCCCTAGGACAAGCAGGCATTGAGGAAGGGAATTAGACATGTTGTGGCCAAGGGCATTGAAATAGCTCATTTCAGCTGCCAGCCCCATGCTCAACAGAGGGAGCAACTCTCCAGGAGCAGGTGCCGAGCCTCCTCCAGCATGCACGTCGGGTCAGTATGAGCTACAGGTCCTCTGAACCCTCTGGGGGTAATAGCTAGCATAGGGAATCTGAAAACATGCAAATCCATGTAGAACACACATTCTCAGGCCAATTTGTGGACTAAAATGCAGACCTTTAGGTAAAGACACAGATTAAACCCATTTCTTGGTAACATCAAAATAAAGTAAAATAGTAAAGAGTTTCTCTCCTGCACTGCTGGTGGGAGTGCAAACTGGTCCAACCACTATGGAGAGCTGTGTGGAGATTTCTGGACCTACTAAACATAGAGCTTCCATATGATCCAGCAATTCCACTCCTAGGTATTTACCCAAAGGACACAGAAACATCCATTCCAAAGAACACCTGCACCCCTATGTTTATAGCAGCACTGTTTACAATAGCTAAGCTTTGGAAACAGCCCAAATGCCCCAAAATAGATGACTGGATCAAGAAGATGTGGTACATATACACCATGGAATATTACTCAGCATTCAAAAAAGATAAACACATGCAATTTGCAGCAACATGGATGGCGCTGGAAGGGATCATGCTCAGCGAAATAAGCCAAAAAGAAAAAGAAAAATACCGGATGGTCTCACTCATAGCAGGAATCTAGAAAACTTAAATAAGGGACCAGGAAAATGAATAACTATAAGAAAGTGAAAATCAAAATCAACAAAAAACTATGAACCAGAGACACTTTTTGGGGGTGGGGAGTGGGAGGGGAGGGATTGGGGTCAAAATGGGGGGGTTGCAATTGTATGGGGAATATAAAAATAAAATTTATTATTAAAAAAAATAGTAAAGAGTTTCATTTGAAAAAAAGGAAGAAAATATTCTTACCTGTTCTGAGGACATTTCACCAAATAATGTCTCACTGTGAAAGGAAGAAGAAGTAGAAGATGGTAAATAAAAGCTTCGTTAGGTATGTGTACTTCAGAATTACTAGGAAATTTAAGCAGCTATGTATTTCCCAGAGATTGGAAATTAACTTCTCAGGGTTTCCACAAAGACTTACAGGTGATTCACTCTTGGATCAAGATGGGCATGAAGTCATATACCCCAAATTTCTGGTCTTGTAACCTCACACATTGATTTTTGGTCAAGTCAGCTTGAATTGAGTTTTAACAGGAAGGGCCCTAGGATTAATAGAATCCCCTAACTTCTGAGCTCCACCTTAGTCATGAGAAAGCCTTCCTGGGTCAAAGTGTACCCACATGTCTACATTAGAAGCTCCTCTCTGCTAAAAGGGTTTTCATTTTCTCATTAATGCTCTCCCAGGACTAAGAAGAAACCTATAGGAAAGAGTTAGAGGAAGACACTCTCCATAGCAGATCTTGAGAATGAACAAATGATTTTAGCTACAGAGGAAAATAAGGTTATCTAGGCACTTATCCCAGTAAGTACCCAACCTAAGACTCTTAGTTCAGTCCAGCCCAAATAGAAATAAAGCTAAAACAGCCACAGGCCCCTGGGGTTTGGGTTGGATCATGATCCCAGTAAGTCACACTCCCTGCATCCACCAACTCCTTATGTAATCCCCTCCCACACTGACTTTGGGTTTGGCTACAGGAAATGCTTTGGCCACTGAAACATTAACCAGTGTGTTACAAGTAAAGGCATACAATGTTCTGTGGGGTTTTCTCTGTCTCTTGCTGCAGGGACCGTCTCTGCTACCATGTGAAGAAGCCTGGCCAGTCCATAGAAGATGACACCACATGGAGAGATAGAAATTGCCCCAGCTGATCCACCAGTGGACTTCAGCTGCATAAGTGGTCCTAGCTGAGCCCAATCCCAAATGTTGACCTGCAGAATTGTGAGCAAATAAAATAGCTATTGTTTTTAGCTACTACATTTGGAGTGATCTGTTATGTGGGTGACCAATGAAGGTTCCAGACGAGTATGACAAGCTTAGCTTTAGAGGAGGCTCTGTGGGTTTATCTGGCCCAACTCTCTATATTAGTACCTAAACCCTCTATTCTATTTGCTAAGCACCTAGTATGTGCTGGGTAGTTTTTAAGTACAACAACAATAATCACCACAGTTAGTATTTATCAAAGACCTCCTATGTTCCTGACATTAATATAATTTTATTATATAGATCCATTATCTTTAGTCTGGGGTTTGCATACCCTTGCACACTTCAGAATAGTTTTAAGGAAATAAGTTCCTAGACCCTCACTTTCTGTTGTATTCTCTCCTACGAATTCACCGCCCTGGCATGTGCCTGCATCTCTATTCCTTTCCCTGCCTCCCCTTTCACCTCACTCTTTCTATTTCATAAAATCAAGGCACACCCCTCACTCATCCTGATTTGTACTAAGACATGTTCTGAGGGTAAAACCAGTGTGGCCCAAACAAGGAATGATTTGAACTATTGGTGCCGGTGTTGAGAAAGCAAACAACAAGTGACTGGGTAACTAAACATTTCATAAGGGGAAAGTATTTCAATATTTCATTTCAACAAGAATTGAATAATGACCTAATCCAGTTGTCAGTTGGTAGAATATTAAAAATTATTTTTGATGATATATTATTACATGGCTTTTGAAATATATCTCAAAAGTAGTTTAAAATATTGAGTGGTATAAGAAACCTTCAACTATCCCCACCTCTTTTTATATTGAATACTATTACTAAGCAAATACATATAAAGGTATATGAAGTAAAACTAAAAATCCATTTCAATAAAAATACATTTCCAATAAATTTTACTTCTTATGATTATTAATTATTTATCTAAATTTATAATATATTTATGTGGTTTTGATTATTTGTCACAATCTTCCAAATCTTACTAACTGGGAAATAGTGATAATTCAATTTAGAACAAGGGTATTTTAACACCTAGAGACTTATGGAATAAGGAAGTAAAATTCTTAATTAAATTTTTATACACACTTATTTGACAGAGACGTATAATAGGATGATCAATAAGGGGCTTTCGTTGTGAGGAAAGTGGATTAAAGAAAAAGTTCAAGGGGAAAAGGAAATAATATAAAATTTCTAGCAATTAAAGTTGGTTCATGAGTCTTTTTTCCTCTTATGTAGTCTTTTTAAGCCAAAAGAAGTGGTTGTTAAATCCATGACATTTAAGTGTAAAAGAGACATATAACCATTTCATTTTAAGCTGTCAATATTTGTGATGCTCTAGAAATTACATCCTCTGCAAAAATTTACACTTATGATAAAGAAATTTAGCTGCCAACAAAAAACAATAAATAGTTTTTGGAATTATTTTAGGGGTTAAGCAAGCAAGAATGCTTGAAAACCCAAATGTGTATTCCAATTTAATTTTTTTGAATGACTTTGTCATTATACCTCTTTTACAGTGGAGAACACTGAAGCACAGAGAGGGTAACAACTTTGCCCAAGGTCACACAGCTCATGTTCTGCGCTGAGCTGTACCCTTCCAAAATTCATCTGTTGGACCCCTGTACCCCTAGTACCTCAAAACATACTGAATTTGGAGATAGGGGAGTTAAAGATTAAGTTACAATGAGGTCAGTAGAGTGGGCTCTAATCCAACTTGGTTGGCGTCCTTATAAGAAGAGAGAGCAGAACACAGACACACAAAGAAAGACCACGTGAAGACACAAGGAAAAGTGAGCTCCCTAACAGCCACAGAGAGGGACCTTAGAAGAACAGCACTGCCGGCAGCTGATTTTGGACTTTGAGCCTCCAGAACAATGAGAAATACATTTCTATTGCTTAAGGCCCCCAACTTAGGTACTTTTCTATGGCAGCCCCATCAGACTAACACATGTGAAGGGGACAAAACTGGGCAGGGGCCCAGCCTGCTAGAAGGGGATGTGTCCTACCCTGCTCTTACTCTAGCACCGTTGGGGCCTGTCCTCTCCCCAGCTCCTTTCCATCCCTGCTCCTTAGGAACTAGTATTTGCCCAATGACTCCTCTAGCACCACCAGTCCTCGGGATCACAGCAGTCACAACTAACTATGCCCTAGCCATCTGGAATGATTGAGGTGTGTCCCTTACTCATCCTTGAGCAAAGAACCCCTTTTTCTTCCTATTGGGTCTGGAAGTGGGAAAAGACAACAATCAAATTTCCCTTGTATGGTATTTAAAGATGATCACAGATTCCTACCACTCTCCCATCAAGTGACTCTCCCCTTTCCATCTCAGCTGCCCTTAGCAACTGCTGTCACCTAAGGAATATGGCAGCACGACAACTGTGCCAGCGTTCATTCTAGGCATTCATTGGAAGCCAATGCAGGGGTCTAGCTACCTTCCTTGGGGAGACCAGAGGTAGAGAAAGCAATGTCCCCCAGTCCTGCTGCCCCATGCCTGTCAGAGGTGGGTTCCAGGTCAAGAGAGCTGCCACCCTGGCTCTCTACATCCACTTCACTACAATGAGGCTGCACAGAGACACTAGGTGACACTGCCAGCAGACATGCCAGTTGAGCCAACTCAGAATCAGGAGCAAATAAAAGCTATCTGCAGCCACTATGTTTGGTGGTTTATTATGTAGCAATAGATCCTGAAACATTTTGGGATTACCAATGTATATTTTCTGGATAAAAGCTCAACTCAACAACAAGAAAGGACACTCTTAAGTTACAGGAAAGGGCCTTAACCAATCTAAAACAAGACCATATTGATCAGATCTCTTCTATTCCACCAAGTTATTTTTGTTATTAAACAATCAAATTTCATTGCAAAAATGAGTTGGGAAGGGTCCTGTGACCCAGGCCTCAATGGAAACACGGGACTCCTCATTGAAAATTTACCTGGATTTTCTGGAATGTCACTGTTCTAAGCCAGGAGCTGCCTTTCTGGGCACCATAAAGACAACTGAACCTTCCCAAACCCACCTGCAGTGGTGACAGGGCTCTCCAAGGATGGCTTCAGTTGTGGTCCTGCAGAGAAAGGCACAGGATTTGGAACTGGAGGGGGTAGATTTGGGATCCTGTGCAATATTTGAGCAATTCACCTGTATTCTATTCTGCATGCCCCAATTTCCTTGGCTATGAATCTGGGACCTAATAAAATGGCTTACATCCAGAGAGAGGACTAGGGCAGAAGCACACCCAAATACAGACAGTGTCCCATGTGCTTCATGTCTCCCTCCCCTGGGTCTGTCCCCAGAGTTCCTGCAGGGCTTGTTTCCTCCAATGCAATGCACAGAGCATCAGATCTGGGGAAAATCTGCTCAAAGGCCATGCTTGTCAGAGGAGATAGTCCCACACACTGGGGGCAATTTAGAGCTCCCTGGGATGTTTCTGATTATTACACCGCTTGGGGACAATACCTGATAATTGGTAGGCAGAAAGCAGACAGGCAGGACATCCAACAATATGTAAGGTGGTCCACAAATAATGATTTGTCCCTCATGACTTAGAATAACCCTTCTGATATTCATGTAGGGGGACAAACTATTCATCAGAGCCTGGGACCTAAGCTCATTTATATATAAACACAAGGAATATTTGTTCCATCTTAATGCACGAGTGTTTAAAGAATGGGAAAACCTGGCAATGATTTGATACTTTACCAATAGTTGGGATTTCAGAAATCCCATCATTATGAGCAGGGCCACTCCTGGATTTTAAGGCACATCTATGTCAGTCTATACTTGCACCAGTCTCACACACACTGAGTCTTCATATATACACATAGATTCTTAGCCTTTATTTCAAATACAAACATAGATATGTACCTATGTCTGTCCATATTTCAAGTCCTTTCAACTAGAAAGGAATATTGTCTTCCTGAAATTCAAATTTATTCAAAAGGTGCAACTCTTAATTTTGTCTTACTGTTAAGAATCACTTTCTATTTATTTCTCCTAATATTATAGTTAGACCATTAAAATGACTTCTGTGGGTATAGGTAGCATGTCCTATCTATGAGTTTCATTTCAAGATAGTAAGGAGATCCTTTCGAAATACTTAATGTAAAAGAGAGGTGCTGAATAGGAGAGACTTGAGAACTGGCTCTTTGTCTTGCTATTCGAAGTGTGCCCTCAGACCAGCAGTCCAGGCAACAGCTGGGGTCTCACCAGAAATGCAGTCTCCGGTCTCCCCAGACGTACTGAAGGTTCTGTCAGTGCTGTTTTAAGGCTCTTAGAGTAACACCAAGGTAAGAGTGATACAAGGCCCCCCATACTGAGGCCTATCCTTGGTCCCATGCTGTTGCTGGGAGGTACCTGGCTCCCAAGGCTACATGAGGCAGGATCCACTTTGCCAGGGCTAGAGAATGCCAGCCTGCTGGTGGCAGTTACAACCAGGCCAAAGTCAAGCTCCTGAGGAGGTACAGATATCATGAATTGCAGCTTGGGAAGGACCGCAGCAACAACCGCCATGGAAGGGTAAAGGAAAATTACTTGGCAAGGTCAGCACCAAGATGGCTAAGATTTTCTTGGCTAGAAACATGCCAGGTTTCACATGGGGCTGGGGCTCGAGCTCTGCCACTCCCTGTTTCATTGGGAGTGTTTTCTTGTTTCATTGGAAAACTTCTCAAGTTCCTCATCTGGGTTCTCTATAAAATGCGAGCAATACCGGCTGTTACGTGGGATGGGTGGACAGGATTCCATGAGAACACAGGGAGGCCGGGAGGGGTCTGTCCTGTAGCAAGTGCTCTGGACAGCTCAGTAGGGACTCTCTGCACAGGTGCACATATGACTGTCTGGAATCCACTCCAGGGGGACAAGAGCAGCTGGGGTCCATGTTCTTAGGGGCTCTATGTGAGACCTGGAGCTTGTGTCCAATCTGCCCTTCTTGGCCTTAGGGGAGAAGGATGTTTTCTGACCTAACCACTCTGCTCCATTTCCTCAGCCCTGCCTACGGCCTAATGGGCCTGCACCTCAAGGCAGGCCTCTCCCTCATCCCCTGAGTCTAGGCAGCAATATCTTCAGAGCAAAACAGGCCTGGAACCAGCCTAATTTTGCTTCTAAACTCCAACAGTTGGAAGCACAGCAGCTGGGAAACAGGCCCATTTGTCCACCATTTGTTGAGCAGCTGTCATGAGTTAAATTCCAAGGAGAATGAGTCAGATGCACACCCCTGCCTTACACACTATCCCCTTAAAGGGAGGCAAATGCATTTGCTCATTTGTGACATGAGCCACGAGCTCATAAAAGTAGTCATGGGTTTGAAACAGAAGTAAGTCTCGGGTGCTGTAGATGAGGTGCGTGAGCACATGTTACATGCATGTAGCATGAACTTAGGAAGTCCAGCACAGAGCCATACATGAAGGTCACAAGTGGTGGGGGCACACTGGTTATAGCCCTCTCTGTCTCTGGGTGCCAGGGGCTGCGTGCTGGGTGTCTCCAACCCTCCAGTTCCTGGTTCACCTTTCTCCCTCAGTTCAGGCTCCCTCAGGCTGAGTTCTATGCACACCCCTGGGGTTTCCGGTTGGGGAGCCAAATGGAGACAGCAGCAGAACATCTGGGGTGAGAGGAAAGGACTGAGAAATGTATGTTCCTGGCTCTCTCCCGGTCACCTCAGGGACTGGCAGTGCCTGAGTCTGTCATCTTACTCCTGTTGGTGACACAGCTGCAGCTCTTACCAGGAAGTCTCCTCCCCTTGTCTAGGGTAGAAACAGCTCTTGGGGGAAGCTGTTCCTGGGTGGGTCTATCTTCTGGTTTCCTTTACCCTTCCTGGGACCTGGGGAGAGTCACCTCTGGAAACACTGCTCCGTTTCTCAGTCTGAGTGCCCCCTTAATCATGACCCCCAAATCTAGTGTACAAATTTTCCCCCATTATTGAGATGGAGACAGCAAGGCAAGTGGATAAGTCACCAGCTGGTAATTGAAGGGTCACCTACCATTTGAACTACTAGTCTAATTCCAGAGGCCAGTTCTTACCCAGGTTATCTCTGAGGTCACAGCGTCCTCATCAATCTTGGAAATTCTGAAAGGGTCCACAGGGACAGAATCTCAGAGAAATTGGACAGGAGCTGGTAGAAATGGGGACTCGAGGCTTGTTGAGAGTGGGGACTGCGAGAGAACACTGGGAGGCAAGAGTCCTGAGAACTGCAGTCCTAGGAATGTACAAGCAAATCGAAGAGGGGCCGAGGAGAGAGTCCCCGGAACAGGGACACTGACAAGGAAGGAGACAGAAGAAAGTCAACACTCAGACTGGACAGGAAACGAAGGGAGGGGGAGATTTTTTAAAACCCACCTGCCTGCCAGGCTCAGCAAGGGCATTGTAATTAGATTATGAACACTCACAGGACTCAGTCTCACAAATGAGGAAAGCAAGATTCAGTTAAGTACTTGTCTAAAAACTCAGTGTCAGTGGCAGAGCCAGAATCAAACTGAGGTTCATCTGACCCTATAGTCCCTTCAAGTAGAATGAGGTTAGGGCCTTCAGAAACCAAGGAAGGAAGAGATACATGGAAAGGGAGATTTTAAAAGATGTCAGCAGTGCTCACAGTTGATTTTAGCAAAATCTCAGGGAGATACATCTTTTCATTCACTTTGATCACCAGTCACAATAAATAATAATAGTATTAATAACAATAAAAGTAATAGATGGCAGTAAGTAATCCCTGACTATGATGCATTTGTCTACCAAGGTGATATTTTACCCAGCGCCTTCCGCCTGTCTGTGGTTTGGTTGCGCTCCCATCCCAGACATGACCTTATCCATCCTCTTACCTCTGGATTTCCTCTTGCTAAACACAGACTGCCAGATGATAGTCAGGGTGAAGAGGAGGACACTGAGAATCCCCACACAGCAGACAAGCACAGCATACATATAGAGATCTGGAAAGTGAGGACACAGAGGTTACTGGTGGATGGGCCACAGCAGAGGAGATGCACCAAATAAAATACACAGCATACATTTAAAAAAAAAGTCTACTCAAAAGGAACCACATATGTAAATGTAAAACATAAACTGGAGTATTTCTAGGAAAATAATAGGGTAAAATCTGTGGGATTCAGGATTAAGCAGAATTTTAGTCTTGACCCCAAAAGTGCCATTTAGTAAGGACAACTTGATAAGCTTGATTTCATGAAAATTAAAAAGTTTTTTGTTCTATAAATAGCCACACCTGAGAAAAGAAAGCAAACATTGTAAGAAAAAATAGATTAATTTAAAAAAAAAAGAAAATATAAAAGAAAAAAATACCCATATTAAAAGCATATAAAGACAAGCTACAAACTGGGAGAAAATATTTGCAAAGCACATACCCAATATATTAATTTTGAGAATATAAAAAGCTCTCAAAACTGAACAGGAAAAAAAAAAAACTCCTATCAGAAAATGGGCAGAAACATAGAGACATTTCTCCAAAGAGAATATACAAATGGCAAATAAGCACATCAGATGTCCAACTTCCTTAACTAATGAGAAAAACAGGTTTTGTCACAGTGAGATATCACAAACTCTTTGCAAGGTAGCTGAAATAAAAACAGTGACAATAATAAATGCTGGCAAGGATGTAGATAAACCTGGTCACTCAGACATTGCTGGTGAGAATGCAAAACAACAGAGCTACTCTAGAAAAGTTTGCAGTTTCTTAAAGGTACACCTGTAACTGCCATTCAACCCTGAGGCATTTGTCCCAGAAGAATGAAAATTTAAGTTCACACAAAAGCCTGTACATACAAGGTGATAGCAGCTTTATATGTAATGGCCAAAAACGAAATGGTCCAGGTGTCCTTCAGTGAGTGCATGGAATACTACTCAGTGGTAAAAAGAAAACAAACTACATGAAACAATGTGGATAAATTTACAGAGTTATGCTGAGTTAAAAAAAAAAATCCCAAAGTGCTATATAGCCTTTGAACATTTATTGAACATTCTTCAAATAACAAAAGCATAGACATGGAGAACTGGTTAGTAGTTGCCACAGGGTAAGGAGAGAGTGTGATAGGGGAGGAAAATGGGTTTGGCTATAAGGGATGCTTACAGGGAAGGGAATGTTACATATCTTGGCTGTGTCAGTATCCATATCCTGGTTGAGATACTGCTTTATAGTTTTGCAAGATGCTAACATTGAGAGAAATTGAGTAAAGGTTACAAACTGGTACAAGGACTCTCTCTGTATTATTTCTTAGGAATACATGTTAGGTTACAATTAACTCAAGCAATTTTTTTAATTAAACCATGTTCATATATGTATTAATTCAGGCTGCTATAACAAAAATACCATCAACTGGATAGCTTAAATTAAAAAATACATTGATTTCTCAGTGGCAGAGTTGGAAAAGTCCAAAATTACAAGATCTCTGAGAGATGTGATGTATGGTAAGGGCTCTCTTCTGAGTTTGAAGATGCCTTTTCTTGGTATCCTCACATGGAGAAGGGTGGAGTGGAGGGAGAGGGCTGAAGGAAAAGAGGGAGCATGCTAGCTTCTTTTATAAGGACACTAATCCTGCCCCCGTGACTTAATCACCTCCCAAAGTCCCCTACCTCCTAATACCATCAGTGGTTAGGAATCCAACATGTGATTTGGGGAGATACAAACATTAAGCCATAATCATATACATCCATTTCTTAAATTCCAATGATCAACTTTATTACCAAACTGATTGATTAAATGCCAAAACTACTCAAAAAGTGAAAGGGAAGCCAAAAGCATTATTTTAACCTTAATTGCAGCAAAATGCTGCAGATGTTTAAAGTTAGCAAATGTTTGAACTTGGCAAAAATGTTTCTCCACTGACTTAATTATTTTTTTTTTTCAGTCAACAGGCATTTATCAGCAGCCATACTCAGCACTCTCCTAGGTACAAGAAATACAAGTCTTCTCATCAAGAAATAAGAGGGCTGCATGGTACCGACAGCAACTGGAACATGTACCCAGGACTAGGAACATACAGGAGGGGGACCCAACCCAGCTGGGGGAGATCCAGAGGGGATCCCCAGAGGACTGGAACTCTGTGCTGGGGTACATTTAAAATAACACAGAAAACAAAAAAAAAATAGAGAATAAAAGTATAGAAAGAATATAAAATAGAAAAAAAAGTCATCAATCTTCCATCACCCTGAGATAACTACTGTTAACACTTAGTACTTTTTGATGTATCTGCATATATATATATTTAAATTACAAACATATAGTTTCCTATATTGCTTATCATGTAATCTCATTTTCTCATTAAACTCTTCAAAAATAATTCTGAGTTGTCTCAAAAATATGACAAGAGTTTATCATATTAATATGTGACTTAATATCTCGCAGGCTACTTCAAGTGTTTCTAATTTTTCCTATGATAGATGATTCTATGATGAGTATTCATAAGCTTAAACCTTAATGCATCTCTCACTTATGTTCTTAAGGTTAAGTTCCTTGAAGTAGAAGGGCCAAGTCAACAGGAATGCACCTCTGTAAAGCCCTGGGGAACCCAGAGAAGCAGTTATTCAAGTGCTTCACCTAAAAAAGCAGGCAGCTAGGTGGCCGGCTTCCATGGCAAGCCTGGAGAAGCATGTAAGGCCATGGTCAATGAGAAGGAAGGAGAGAGAGAGAGGGAATCAGACTCTCCCTCCCTGGACAATGGCCCAGAGAGACCCAGGGCAGTCTCTGTGCCTGGAGTCCAGGAACGACTCCTGTAGTGTTAGGTTCCGTCAGCATTTCTGCATAAATTAGTTGGAGTGGGCTTCCATTCTGGCAACTAAAAAGCCTGAACCTAAAATAAAAATGGTGGAAAGCAAAGTATGACAAAGTTTCAGGAGAAGGGAGGACCTGCTCTAATACTTAAGAGAGAGGGCACATAGGTGGGAACGAGGAAGAGTCTCTCATATAGAGAGCCAGCAGCCAGTCACACAAGCAGAACACTGACATCAGAGTTCCAGAAGCCAAGAGAGTATTGTCAGAATGAATAGCATCAAGTGCCACTGAAAAACACCCATTGTGGTTTCCCACCAGGAAGCTCCTGGGAAAGTCCTGGGGGAAAACCAATTCAGTGGGATGATGAGGCAGAGCCAGATTTCAGAGACTGAGGTATTCAGTGGTAACTGAGGAGGCTGAGATGAAATAGATAAAGCTCTCCTATTACCAAAATCAAAGCTGCTTTTCTGTATAAACAGCAGGGGCTTGGATGTGTGGGCTTTTAGATTAATACAGCAGCAAACCCTACAAGTGTGGAGAGTTAAAGGGGGACTTGAGCCTCCATTTAGACAACATGAAACTGAGGGGAATAACAGAGGTCACCGGACAGGATTCATGACCAGGCACAGGATGGGCCACAAAGAGCAAATGTCCAGTTCAGAGCTCTTTCTGGCACAAGAAGTGTGAACAATGGGTTACGTAGCCAGGAAGAGCGACATGGGGCAGGTGGACTCAACATTTGCCTCACAGGAGTCCTGGAGAAGTGGGTACATAGACCAAACCAAAAGGCAATGACAAATTAGTTTCAGGTTCTTTCCTGGGGTGGAGAGAAGACCTCTTACTGGCATTTCTGTGCCACTGCAGCAGAGAGACAGCATGGCTCACCTCTTCATCAGAATTTTTTCCTTGGTTTCGGGACTACAGGAACCAAGGAGGGTCAAGGCTGCAGTGAGGTTGCCCCACGAGCATCCTACAGAAGCGCACTGCAGACATCTGTGGCAGGTTCTGCTCTTGGCAGGAGGTAAGGGACTTCAAGAGGCCCACGGTGCAGCTGCAGATCACAGCCTCCTCAACATGGCACAGAGGGGCTCTCCACAGGCAGCTGTGGTTACAGAATCATAAAACATCTGGCCAGTCTGGAAGGCTCAGCTACTCCACCAAGCACACAGACCCTCCAGGCTGTGGACACCAGCCAGCAGGCCCCAGCCGCACACATGCAAGTCCCACAGGCACAGGATAAGCTGTGCTTGCCCTCTGTTGTGTTCTTGAGGCTACGGGAACTTCCAAAGCTCAGAAAGAGCACTGGGGATTGCCAGGATTGGGCAGCAACCAGGATCCAAAATTTTCTCCTTCAAGCATTCTTTTGACTGCAATGAAGACCACTTCCCTGCTGTATCTACTCAAAACATGAAAACCAGCTCCCCTGTCTTTCCCTGCAAACAGAGGTTAAACCCTGTGCCATTTCAGCCAGGATCAGGATCACCAAATCCTAAGACTCCGGGGTCACTGGTGCACTAGACAAGCTAGAGAAAGACGTGCCCTGCCCCATAGAGATAGCTGCCCTCGGGTCCAGGTAGCCATTCTCAGGCCAAGAGGCAGCCCAGGGCTGCCACAGCTCTCCTGTGACTTTCAGGTAAACCCCTCTCTAACTGCAAGTGTTGGCTCAAAGGATTTAAAACTCAGCAGGCTAAACAATGCTGTCTGGAGGCTAAATCCAAGACTTCAGATCCAAATTTAACAAAGCATCTGCAATTAACCAAATCAACAATTAGCTTTTAAACACATATACCTATGTACTCTTAGTAATTCTAAAAAACCTTGTCATATTCCTTGAATCCGTGTGCAGTTTTGTCTCTTGTCATTGGACTTCCAAAGCACCAATATTAATTTTAGACACAGATGCATCACCATGCAGAAAATGTCTCCCTGTTGCCCCCAGCCCAGGCCTCCCTGAAGCAGATGGTGGGGCCAGGGCCGGCAGGCTGCAGTGATATGCATGCAGCAGGGAGGCTGCGACAGGGTGCCAATGTTTGTGCCAGCTCCCTCCCAGAAAGCCAAGCCAGTGTGGCCCCAACAAAAGGCAGAAGGCACCTGTTGCCGGGCAACCCTGAAGCTGGCTGGGATATTCAGTGCTGCTTTGAAACCCAGTGACCCCAGCATTCCTCAGCACAAAGAAGGAACCCTACTGTCCTGGGACTAGTTAATCAAGAAGGTCAGTGTCATCCTGTAGACTTCCAGGGCAAATGCAGATGCTAAGGAGACCTCAGTTCTGTGGAGGAAAACTTACACTTCCTCAATTTTTTTTTATCTAGCCTGCAATACCATCTTTCTCAGGGCAAAATACCTGAGCAATAGCCCGGAGGGATTTTAACTCAATCCAGCATCTCACAGAGAGGCCTGACAATGTCTTTTTTTGTTCGACAGGCACGTAGCTGAGCAGGGCCAAGCCCCAGGAGGATGGGTATCCATCGCAAGCCTGACTGAGGCTCTCCCATCCAAGAACAAAAGGGCAAAGGCCTGGGATCAGGCGCCAGGGAATTTCAACTGCACCCCTGACCTCACCAACACTTGGTCTGGGTTAACAAAATGAAACACATGGATGCTGCTGCTGAAATTAGAAGGAAAGATACTGGAAACTGCATTATACAGAGAGAATTCCCATTCTGCTTTCTCTGTGTTGAGAAGAGAAAGCATGTTAGCTATGGATTTTGTGTAGCATTAGATGGACAGTAATCCGGACAGTCTATGGCTACATGTGAATCATCATATGTTACATAAAGTGTCTTAGAGACACTCACAATGCTGCAAGGCTTGCAAGGGCTAAATTCTACAATCCTTCAACGTACTGCATCTTGTTTATGTGTACTGCGATATTTCAAAATACAGTCCTCAGGCCACATACATCGAAAACACCTCCGGTGCTAATAAAGTGCCAATTCTTTGATGCTTTCCTAGATGTCAGATTGTCAGGGGGAGCCCAGGGTACGGGCTACTAGCAAAGCCCCCAGGAGATCATTGTGCATCTTTGGGATAAGTAGGGTCCCCATTGTTAGAGCTGCCAGTGACCTAACTTAAGGGCCCCAGGACTGCCTGTCTCCACACTCCCACCACCTCACAGCAGGGAGTTCACATGCAGGCTCCAGAAACTTGGGGTAAATGTAGTTCTACTTCAGTCTACCAGGAGGAGTCAAGTTACTTGCTTCTCTTTGCTAATGGCAGGAATTCCCTGAATGAAGGGCTGAGAGAGGGGATTTGGAATTATTGTGCTAGAAAGTGGTCATTGGATAAAGGAAAAGGCAGAGAATGCAAAGAAGCTTTGTTGGAATCAAGTACGATCTGAAAAGCAAAATATATAAAACTACAACAAAATAAATCCTAGTGGTCTACACATGTAACACCTTATGGCTAGCACATGATGTTCACAAATATGGTTACATTTTTCTAGAAAGAGAGAAAATGATTCAATCTGTTAGGGAAGGTACTGTGTTCCCCACCCCCACTCATAAGCAGCTGCCGGGAGTTTGGGGACCAGTGGAGTGGCAAGGTGAAGCTCTGTGACACTGAAGGCAGGTGAGCTGGGGGCTCTTGCTTCTCCGGCTTTGACTTGTACCTTGGAACTTACTGCTGAGAGGGGACTTGGAGGAGACACATGCAGGAGAGACATGTAGGGACACTTGAAGGTGACTAGTGGGTGAGAGACACAGGGGAAGGCTGTCCTTGACGGTGATAATGTCAGCCATTATGTTGATTTATACTTTTGTTTACTCCTTTTGTCCCAGAATTGCCTTGCTCCTTTCTCACTGTTTCCTTCTAGAAGGCACCTTAGACTTGTGACAAGCTTTCGAGCCTCAGTGGCACCACTTTAGGTAGACCCTGTTTGGTTGGGCATTTGCCCATGAGGGGATGGGTAATTTGAGAAGGGGGGAGGATACTGGAGAACACTTATTAAGAATACCCTCTCTTCTCTCTCCTCCTTATACACTCTAATTCTATTTAAGATCTATCACACTAAGCGTCTGCTTCCTTTGTCTTTATGTGACAGATGGCAGAATCTCTTCAGACTGTGCATCCTTGCTAGCTTGGGGTCCCTGGGTGCCCCTTTGTTGTGTGTTAAACAAATCCACTGCTTTTAACTAGTTATTAGAAAAGGTTTGAATCCAAGTGCTCTCCCCTAGTAAGCCCTCCTTCCTTAGCCTTTGCGTTAACAAAAGGTAATGTTGAAGCCCCAAGGTACTCATCTCCTCAGACCCTTCTGGAAAGATCAGTCAGCATCAGTAAATGCATGCCTTCCCAAGACATATTCCTTCATACTTTCCTCATCACCTTTTAACATTTTTCATCTTTTCACTGATCAAAGGCTCTGCCTGAGAACTCAAGCAGTAGTTTTTCACTGTTATGGCCATAATCCCCCACTACTTTGTGATAATAAATTTTTGTAAACGTACCCGACTTTAAGACAATGCATCTCATCTCAACCTCAGCACTCTTAACATTTGGGGGGGTCATTTAATTCTTTGTTGTGGGGGGCTGACCAGTTCATTATAGCATGTTACCACCAACCTTGGCTTCCATCCAAAGGGCGTCGGCAGCAACAAAATGCTAGTTGTAGCTACCAAAAACAGAGTGAAACATCGGCAAATGCCCCCTGGAGGGGCAAAACTGCCTCCTGTTGAGAAGCACTGCTTTAAGGCTTAAGTCTGAGGGTACATCAGAATCACTCAAGGTCTAATTAAAACTGGGAACCACCCCCAGAGTTTCTGATTCCATAAGCAACAGTAGGACCAAAAAAAAAGGTACATTTGTACCAGGTTCTCATCAGCTGCTGCTTCTGGTCTGGGACCAGCTTTAGGGACCTCTGCTCTCTAGGCTAGGATCATCTGGGAATCTGGGATCAATGCTGGGATCATCTGGGAATCTCTAGAGATCAGTGCTTTTAAAGTTCTCCAGGTGATTCTCACATGGGTTGAAAATCACTTGCTTAGGGTTTGCAAACTATTTGCAGAACCCCAAACTCCTTAAGAAGCCAAAGATAGAATTAGTCATGGTGGTTGTGCTTTTCAATTTTGTATTATTTGATGATCAAGTGGGTTAACATATGTAAAGTGTTTAGGACAGCACCTAAGACCTAGCAAGTCATGATTATCCACAAGGATGTAGAAGTAGGAATTCCGCAGCAAAACAAAACAAACAACCCCAAATTATGCAAATGGGAGCTTCCACTATTACTCTTTCAAAACTCATATGCTGATATGACAGGAGAGTCCCATCTTACTCTTGAGTAACTTTAGAGAAAGGAAACAAATTGACATTGCAGCAAAACTAAGATGGTAGGGCCTTGTCTTGCTGTTCTATTCCTTTCCTGTTATCTAAAAGTGAGGGCACATCTTATAATACATAAATATGCAAGCTTTACCATCAAAAACTGCCCAGGTCTCTTTCTTTTTCTCAAAGGATGAATCTTCAGAACTTTTGAGGGAAATCACTGTAAGACAAAAAAGAAATGACAAAGCATGAAGCAGTTTTCACAGTTGCAAAACCATACTTAATTGTTACAACTCAAATATCAGGGCAATGCACGGCTCAAGCCTAGCAACTGAGATACCTGAGAGACCAGAGAAGGGAATTAAGTTATCTATGTTTAAAATTCAATAAATACTACTGGTAGATGACGTGTTTTGGTGGTGGGTACACTAAAGCAATAACATTATGTTAAGCCGATGACAATAGTAATAAATGGCAAATTAGAAGTCAGTTCAATAGAAGACCCACTTGCCCTCAAATACTTTCAAAATAAAGAGAACCCCAATGGGAATTCCAAGAATCAAAACATTTGAGTGAACATCTTTCTAAAATGTAGGGCATGTTCCCGGACATCCCTATATACAGACCATCCACTACCTCTCCATTCTCCATGCAAGATAGTCACACAGAGTGACAGTCATCTGATTTGCAGATTATTTTGTCTTCTTTCAGTCCATGGTTGAAAACTGAATTTACTGGGCCTGCTTTCAACAGGCAAAAAAAACAGAATTAAGCTACACTATATAGATCACTGAATATCACACTAAGGGATCTAGAACCACAGAAAGGTCCTAAGTATAAGGGTAATGTCATCATGGGCAAAAATCTAAAAAGAGGGAATGAGATCATTGTCCAACAGAACTTTCTGAAATGACAGGAATGTTCTATGTCTAGAACATAGGCATGCTGCAGTCCCTGGCTTGCTTATGGCTACTGAGCAAATGAAATGTCCACACAGGACTGAGAAACTGAATTTGTAATTTTATTTCTTATTTAAATTATTAATTTAAATGTAAGTAACTACACATGGTTAATGGCTGCCACATTGAAGAGCTCTAGAAAAGAGATTCTAGGGCCTGAAAAAGAAAAAAAAAGAAAGGTGGTTGAAATAGAGATTGAATCAACATGAGAGGCAAGGGATATGGCAAATTTGAGCTTACTTACTTCCCCTCCCACAAATTTCTGTATTATTAGTGCCATGGATTTCAATTTTGAATTTGCCCTTTTTTTTTTTTGTTTCTCTAAGCCAGCACTGGATATTTTCTATTGACCTACCTTATCCCTACCTTGAGATCACTAATCTTTTATTCATCTGTGTCTGAACTGTTGTTAAACTCATCTATCAACTATTTCGTTTCATTTATTATGCTTTCCAGTTTATAGACTGTCTAATTCTTTTCTATTTATGCCAGCTCTCTAATTTTTCCAGCTAGTTATCTAATTTCTTGACTATATTAATCATATTATTTGACTGTACATGCCTGATAATGTTCATATCTGCATCACTCATAGGCTTGTTTCTATTATATGTTTTTGCTTTTGATCTTATCTCTTGGTATGCCTGATCATTTTGTTATTTAATGTCACATGTCATATATGAAAAATCATGGAAATACTAGATAAAATTTTATTTTCTGGTAGGAAATTAGAGCAGGGGGATTGGGGATGATCACCTAAGCCTGGTCAGAGGCTGGGTTTCACTTTTTTATATAGTCTGTCCTACATGGTTTTCCCTTACCTCAGGATCCCCAGTCCTTCTCATTTTCATCTCACTATAAAAATTGCCAAAAAGTTCTGCTTGTCTTCTAAATTATTTATTATTATAAGGGAAATATAAATCAAAGCCACAATGAGGAGGGAGTAGAGGATGGTGGAATGAGATATCATCTCCATCTGCGAGAATGACCTTTATCAAGAAGATCAGAAACAAGTGTTGGTAAGATGTAGAGAAAATGCTATATAAACTCTTAGAGGGAATAATAATTGATCCAATCTCTATGGAAAACAATGTGGAGTTTCCTCAAAAAACTAAAAATTGCGGCCTCCCCTGGTGGTGCAAGCAGTTGGCCACAGTGCTGTGAGGCTGTCGGCAGCCTCTGCAGCGCCCCTTGGATCCTGGCCTGCCTGCAACAATCCCACATGGCACAGCAGACCTCTCCTGTCTCGCCCGCTGCTCCCCTCAGCAATGTATTTCATTCAGTCTGCCTGTTCTGTTCCCTGCTCTGTCTCTGGTGGATCCTCTCACCCTCCCATGCATCTGGCCTGTGCCCTGGTTCTTGTACGCATGAATAAATAAGTCTTTAAAAAAAGAAAAAAAAAAACTAAAAATTGATCTACTATATGATCTAGCAATTCCACATCTAGTCAAAGAATATGAAAACACTAATTCAAAAAGATATATGTTGGCCATTTGCATTTCCTCTTTGGAGAAGTTCCTTTTTTAGCTCTTCTGCCCATTTTTTGACTGGATTATTTACTTTGTTTTGGTTGAGTCTCTTCAGCTCTTTGTAGATTTTTGTGATCAGTCCTTTAATCATTGGTGCTATTTGCAAAAATCTTCTCCCAGTCAGTGGGGTGTCTCTTTGTTTTGGTTACTGTCTCCTTTGCTGTACAGAAGCTCTTTAATTTGATGTAGTCCCAGCTATTTATCTTTGCCTTCACTATCACTGCTTTGGATGATTAGTCTTTAAAGATGTTGCTGAGGTGTATGTCGTGTAGTGTTTCACCTATATTTCTTTCTGTATATTTTATGGTTTCAGGTCTTATGTCTAGTTCTTTAATCCATTTTGAGTTGGTTTTTGTGCATGGTGTGAGGTACAGGCATATGAAAAAATGTTCAGCATCACTTGTAATCAGGGAAATGCAAATCAAAACTATAATGGCAAATACTGCATGATTTCACTCATATGTGGAATATAAAGAAACAAAGCAAAGGAACAGACAAAACAAAACCAAAGCAAACCCTTGCATTCTGACAGCAGAACTAAGTTTACCAGAGGGGGAAGGGGAACAGGAGTAGAGAATGGAGGGGTCTGAGGGACTGTGATCGAAGGTTGTTAGTACTTTGATGGGAAGTGAGGTGTGGCAACAAACATTTGAGGAAGTTTGAACCTATACAGTGTTCTTAACCAATGTTACCTCAATTAAAACAGAAATTTCATAATGATAAAAATAAAATAAAACAAGATTCAATATGCTCAATTGTGTTTGCCTCACTTTATGATCCAGCTGAACTCTCAGTCAATTAGGGAACAAGTAGCTTTTCATACCCACAGTTCTTTCTAAGCATCAGCTCAGCGGAGCTCAGTCCTTACTGTCTGACAACTACCTATGCCTGAGGGCAGTTCGAGTCTAATCACTCAGAGATTAGGGATTCCCAGGCATTCATCAGCCTTTTAACCAAGGGGCTGTCTAGCAGGGTAACGATGGTGGGTGGGAGCCCTACTCCTCTTAGCTGGGCTCTCCCAGGTGGGGAAGAAGATTAACACTGCCTAACCCTGCCTTCACTCCCATCACCCTCTACTGACCACCTCCAATCACCCCTGTCTCCATCACCCCACCAGGAAGGGGTAGAGATGACACACCGCCCCGTCTGGGTGAGGGGAATATGGTCACGGCCCTGTTCAAGGCACCCCCTCTCATGCCATGTGCTCTGAGACTAGCCTCCCAACAAAGAGCTAATGTGAGGGGTGGGAAGTGTGTGCCCGCTTGGGAAGGTCTTATCACCCCAGTTGCTTGGAGTGACGCCAGTCCTGCTTCCCCAAGAGCCCCATTTGGAGCCATTCATGTACACCATCCTCCTCTATCCTTCCTGCATCCAAGGGTCCCATTAGGGAAGGGGTGCAAGGGCCTCCCAAGGGTGCAAGGGCCTCCTCCTCCCACCAAGTGCAGGGCCTTGAGTGTACACACTGGGTCTACAAGAGGGCAAGGAGGAAATTACAACTCATCAGGGAAGCAGTGGAAGCTCAATTTGGCCTCAGTGCCAAACTGCCTTTCTCAATATAGCTTTATCAGAAGTGAAGTGGGCATTTTGATTTCTGACTCCTATGCCCATTTATCCATTACTTCAGGCTAACAGTAGAGAAGAAAGGAAAAGAGTACACAAAAGCTAAGTCATCAGCTGACCTATTGACTGCTATGTGATTTCCTTGGAACCCTCGTGCCCAGTGGGCAGAACATAGCTGATCTTCTGTCCAGGTGGTAGCCCAGGGGACAGTGCTGCAGGGCATCATGGGACCCCTCCACAAAAGAACAGAATCAGATGAAATCTAATAAGGAGCAAGTTGTGCAATCCACTACATCACGGCCCCTCCAGGAAGAACTGGTTGAAAGTGGGAACAGGATCAAATGTTCTAGAAGAATGCAGCCCAGAGGTACCGAGACAAACTGATCCTATCTGACTTATATCTGGAGGAAGCAGGTTGGAAAGAGAGAATCTTAGTCCAGTCCCCTCTGATGGGACCTGCAGGAAACCATCACTCAGAGAGGTGTGAAACTGAGAGTTTTAATCCCTAACTTGGACAGAACATCCCACTGATTCCCCTGGGAAGGGCATGTTTCACGCCGTGTGGCAGACAGTATCCCTGAGGTCACATGAAGACCCTGTGACTATGCCCACTGGGGCCTTCCCAGGCTCATATTCACCAATGATACTGAGGACCTGGCCATCCTCAGAGCAGATGGTTGACGGTTTTGATAGGCCCTGGGAAGGCTCCAATTCCCTCAAAATTCTTTCCCACCTGCTTATCTATCGCCCCATTCCTTTAACAAGGAATCCTACAATTAAAGGAGCTTAAATTGCAACCATAGTAAGGTATATGTTTCTGACACAGAAAGTCTTCTGGGATGCAGGCCACAGGGTGCAGTGGCAAGGATAGGGAAAGACTGGCCCAGAGTTGGGAGGTACCCCTTGACCTTTCTATTTTTACTGCTAGTAAGGCTGGGCTCTCAGATGCCACAGATCTTAACCATAGCTGTTTGCCCTCATTTAGTCCAAAGATCGAGATCTCTAAAACTTCAGTGTTCGGGACTGATTGGGACTCTTGTTAAAATAGAAATTCCCAGGCATCACCTCTGAATTACTGGCTATACAGAAAGGTTGGTAGGGCTTGAAGATTTGCATGTTTAGGGAGCAAAGCTTTCAGAAGAGTCTGAAGTTTGAGGCTGCAGGACCCCATTTGG